GGCTTGTGGCCGCATCACTCCAGTCTCTGCCTCTACCACAACATGGCCGTCTCCTCTGTGTCTGTGTCTCCTCTTCTGTCTCTTGAGAGGACACCTGTCATTGGATTTAGGGCCCATCCTACTGCAGGATGATCTCAAGACCCTTAAGGACATCTGCAAAGACCATCCACAGGATGGTGTGTGTCTGCGTTCCAATCCTGTCCTCTCGCGCACATCACTCCTGTCGGATGAGGGCCGGCCCTGATGACCTCATCTTTACTTGAATGCATCTGCAAAGACTCCGTGCGTGATGGCGTAAATTGTGTTCCCTCAAAATTCGCGTGTTGAAGCTTTGATCCCCCAGAACCTCAGAATGTGACTTTGTTTGGAGTTGGGGTCTATCAAGAGGTGATTGAGGTAAAATGAGGTCACTAGGGAGGGCTGTAATCCAAGGGGACTGGGGTGCTTGTAAGAAGAGGAGATGAGGACACAGACACACACACAGGGACGAGCCTGTGAGGACACAGGGAGAAGACGGCGTCTCCAAGCCCAGGAGAGAGGCCTCAGGAGGAACCAGCCCTGCCCATACCCTGATCTCAGACGTCCAGTCTCCAGGACTGTGCGAGAATCAATGTCTATTTTTTATATGTCACCCAGTCTATGGTATTCTGTGATAGCCTGAGATGGACTGAGACACCGCATAAAAAGAGATGAGGACAGAGATATACACAGAGGGACGACCCTGTGAGGACACAGGGAGAAGACGGCGTCTCCAAGCCCAGGCCAGCGACAGGCTTCAGGAGGACCAGCCCTGGCCCACAATGGATTCCGATTCCAGTTCCGGGACTGTGGGGATCATTCCTTTTTTTTTTTTATTTTTTTTTTGAGACGGAGTCTCGCTCTGTCTTGCCCAGGCTGAGTTGCCCAGCGGATCGTATGCAGCTCGTCCCCGGGTTCACGCCATTCTCCTGCCTCAGCTCCAGTTACTGGGATACAGGTGCGCACCACTCGCCTGGTAGTTTTTGTCTTTTTAGTAGACGGGTTTCACCATGTTAGCCGTTGATGGTCTCGATCTCCTGACCTGTGATCGCCGTTCGGCCTTCCAAAGTGCTTGGAATTACAGGTTGAGGCCCCGCGTACGGCCAATTGATTTTCTTTTTTTTTTCTTTTTTCTGAGATGGAGTCTCGGTCTGGTCGGCTCCCAGGCTGGGTGCAGTGGGATGATCTCGGCTCATTGCAACCTCCCTCTCCGGTTC